ATGGCTGAGTCAACAAGGAAGAAGCAGGATATTTATCTTCTAGGCCAGCTTCTAAAAACTGCCATTTTGGGTAACAAGTTACCAGCGAAAAGTGAAGTGATGCGTCGCTTTCTGTACATTCATTTGTCAGAAAAAATGACAGTTCGTGATAGTGAGACTTTTGTTATAAAGAGAGGTACTTCCAATATGGCAACGGGCCAGAATTCCTACAACTCAAGAATACAACGCCATTAAGAAGCTGGATGATATGTTTAAACTGTGGCAAGGATTAAAAAAACATTCTAAGAGAAACTCAGATGCTCAAAGACGTCAAGAACAAGCATTCGTTCATTCACGAAAAGATATGTTTGATATAGCACATGCTAATGCTATTGAACTGATTCAGATACAAGAAGACAGAGAATTTTTGCTGGCCCAAAGGGAACCGGGACGGCGTGGTTATATGAGTGGTGTAGATAAAAATCTGGCGCTGAAAGAGGCACGCTCGTATGAAAGGAAAAGAAGACAGGAGAATTTCAAATTAAAGTCAGCCCAGGCGCAGGAAGAGATCACTGCCGGTGATTGTTCAGCTGAAATAGAGCACAGTTCCAGTGATTCATCGTCAGAATGTGAATCAGAAGAAGACAGCATTGCCAAACGTGTGCAGGTAAAACGAAGTAGGAAAAGCTTCGATGTCCCGTCCACATTGTGCAGTTAGCAGGGGAACTGCTGCAGCACTTGATCGAACAAAGACTTCTGATAGAAAGGCGACGTACATCATCAGTGGAGTTGCCAAACACCTTGGCTTAAATGCTGGAAACCTTGCCATCAATAGATCCTCAATTCGATGAGCAAGGCATAAGCATCGTCAAGAACTTGCGTTGGAAATTCGAAGGAATTTTTCTCCAGGCATCTGTGTGTATCTTAGATCGTGATTCACGGCTCCAGATCTTCTTAGTGCCGCTAGACATGATCTCCAGCTAGTAAAGAAAATCCAACAATTCAGAGATGTAGACCGTGAAGTTTCTGTTGCCGCTGCAAACGCACTTTCTAGACATCTATGGTATGTTAGCGAGGAACTTGTTGGAGCTGCGTTTTTCGATGATCAGATTTCTCACGAGGAGAAAGTGTTGATGGTTGATGCTCTGTCAGTGGAATCAAAAACAACCAACGACTTCACCAAAAGAGTGCAGATGAATGTTAATGACATATCTGATGAAATGTCTGTCAAAGACTTTGTGTCTTCGAACACCATGCAATTCTTTGCAATCCTCGGACTGCCTGACTCATTTCTAAACAAGAGACCCTCCGAGTGGAGAGAAGATGAACAGTACAAGAAAGCTTTTGAAGTTGTAAGCGGTATAAAGCCAGTCAATGATTTTGCAGAGAGAGGAGTTGCTTTGATGCAGGATTTTAACAGAGCAATAGAATCGTCTGAAGAACAAAAGCAGTATCTTCTGCAAGTTGTTGAGTACCATCGTACCCAAAGAAAGAGACATTAGTGGGAGGAAATACATCTCCTTAACAACTAAATGGTTTAACAGTGACACTGGGTACTGGACATAATAATTTTATCAGGTAGTTTGTATCAGTTTTTTCATGTTTTGCAACAAAACGCTAATACGTATAATTAGGTGGTAGCACAGGACACTTTGACTCGCTTGGGCGACCTCTAAATTTTGTCTATGGTCAATAAAATTTTATCATATTACTTGTTACATATGAGAGAAACAAATAAAAGGGTAAGACCTAAAAAATTACGCGTTTTATTTTTTCCAATGTAATTGGGGATCACCCTAATATATATATATATATATATATTTATATGATAAAAAGTGAGAAACCGTTAACATTATTGGTAGAAAATGGTCTTTATTTGATGAATAGCCACACAGATTAAAAAAGTTTCAACCAAAATTTTCATAATAGAATTGTTCCTTTCCCCTTAACTTAAAGTGGGGCAATGGCAATTACCCTTCCCCCTTTTGTATATGCCCCAGTATAAGACAATAAATTTAGTGAAATATGGCGAATGTTGATAATAATTACTGTTGATGATGTAAATATTATTATTACTTTTATTATCGTTACAAGTATTATTGTTATCAACTATCAGCCATCAATTCGTTTACATTTTTATTTTTTATTATTTACTGTTTTAAATTGTTTTTATTATTGTTATCATTTTGAAATCACAATTTTTAATTTCCTCGATTGACTGGCTGTGAGTGAATATCGCCATTGGTCACTGTCATCGCGGCCCAAACATTTTTATTTTTCATCCCTTTTCACTCATTTATGTCATCATCATCTCAAAATATTTATCACAACCATACGTTCGTCGTCATCATCTTCATCTTCTTTTTCGTTTCTACCACCACCATCATCCTCACCATCTTCTTCCTCTTCTTTACTGTATATTCATATATGGCCAGCTGAAGGAACCGCCACTTAGTAGCATGTCCCTGATGAGTGTTTCAATTGGAGTCTTGCCGACGAGTCTGACGAAGAAGAGCTGCTCTATGACCTGTGCAGAAACCGTCCTTAGAGATGGCAGTCTTAGAAGAAGTTTGCCGAAACGCGTGGGTTGGTTCGGGTAGGTCGTTCGCACGTATTCCTCAAGGGCACACTGCGATTTTTCTTGGATGCTTTCGATATGGGCCACATCTGAGATGCCACAGGCGTCTGTTGGAAAGGGGAGTGTGGATGTTTTTTTTACGTTTTTTGGTGAATGATTTGGTTTTGTTTTTTGGTAGATGTTGATGTTCGCGTTGTTTTTTGTTTTGGTGATAAATGTTGTTGTGGTTTGGTTGTGGGTGTTGTTTAAGGTGAGTTTTTGTTGTTGTTGTTGTTTTTACGTATCAGTTCTGTCGTCGCTGACGTGTTGTTGTGTGCATGTGGCCCTGATGTTGTGTTCATGTTATAGATGAAGTTTTGTGATTTTGCTTTGGCATTAATTTATTTGTTTGTATTTGTTATAATTATATTAAAATGATTAAAAATATCACTTTTATCATCTCTTCATTTTTGTTTTCATCAACTTGTAGTCAGTATCTGTATTTCCATCATCATCCTCTCATTATCATCATAATTATTTCTATCCTCATCTTCGTCATCATCATCGTCGTCGTCATCATCGTCGTCATCATCATCGTCGTCATCATCACCATCACATAGAGGTCATTGATGATTCTTAAAATGTTAGCGAATGGAGCGAAAAGATTAGAATAATCCTTCTTCACGAAAAGATGACGATGGTGATGATGATGATGATGACGACGGCAATGATGATGATGAAATGATGACGTCGGTGATGGCGATGACGCTGATGATGATGAAAATTAAGAAAATATCCTTAAAAACAACAAATGATAATGAACATGAATAAAAATCAGGTGACGTATACACGGAACAAAAATACATCCTTACAGGTTTACTCTAAACTTAAACACACATACACACACACAACACATGTGCACAAGACACACATACGCACGCGACAAATAAACATAGGCACGCACACACAGACACACACACACATACAGACAGACACACACACACACACACCAATCAGCCAATGGAATTAGTCATGCATGCTTCGGGCAAACCGCGCATTGCAACCCTCCGTTTCATTCATCCTTTCACTCATTCATTCTCTCACTTACTCTTTCTCTCTCTCTCTCTTTCTCACTTTTTTTGTTCTCTCTCTTATTTAATTCTCAAATTGTATCAATGCAGTTTCTTTAGCACAGACGAAGTTCTTTCTAGCGACCATGTTTTTCACTTCACCACAGCCCACAATTTCTCATCAAAATTATCCTAATTTTCGAAATTTCGTTCACCTTTTGTATATTTCGCCATTTATTTTTTTAGAGAATGTAGCAATGAATCTAAGCAACATGTTTTTATTTCCGGTCCAAAGATTATTAATTTTTTAAAATAGTGAAAAATTAATCTAATAAATTAGGATACAGTTAAATTGTTGCTGCAAACTTGTTTTTGGAATTTTTTTTAAATTGCCGTTGTTAATAGAACGAAGTTGATCGTTGCATCACATTCCTCACCAATGTAATCATAATTATTATCTCCATCGCCAACTTCATCAACCTTTTCCTTTTTCTTCTGCCTCCCTTATTTATCTTCATCATCATCTTCATCATCATCTTCGTCATCATATTCTTCATCATCTTCTTCTCTTCATCATCATCTTCTTCCTTTCATCCCGAGTGCATGCGTTATTAAATTGTCTTGCAGTAATTTGTCTCTTTTTTTTCAAGTCTTTCACGCACAACATGCACATACACACGTACATAGCACGTATACATATACATACTTACATACATACTTACACACCGGCACACGCATCTATAAGGAATCATATACATACATACATACATGAACTTAAGAATGCACACACACACACACACACACTTACACATCTATATAAACATAAACACGTACATATACGCATAACCATTTTTCTCATAGATATAGATGCACATATAACACAAACACACACGTACAAGGTATTAAAATATTAATACACATAAAATGCATAGAATATGCCAAAATGATCGCTAAAACGCATTTGAACATTTTTTTAAAAATACGCATAGAAACAACTGCAAATAAACAAATACACCCAAAAACATACCACTACATACAAATTCGTTCAAAGCATTAGCGAGAAATTTCATTTTCTGTCAAATCTTTTCGAATTTTTGCCACTATGCTTAAATAAAAATTTGATTCTAGCTCCTGGGAAATTTCTACGTTTCGTCAAATTTTTCGGATTGTTAAAAATCGGGTGTAGTGAAGAGCTAAAATGATACCTCACGTGAAATCAACATTCATTAGAACTAAAATGTGAATTCAACATTTATCAACAGAGAAACATTCCCATGAATATTTAATACAGAATACATACATACATAAAAATACAAGCGTTTACACATAAATACATACAAATACAAACACACACACGGATACAGTATGAAATAAATACAAAAAGGCGAAAAAAGCAAAAGTTAATTCTAATTACTCAAAAATATCATAAATGTTTAGATAAAAATACAAAAAGAAAAACGTATAGCCATGAATAAAAACAAATGCGAGTATGCACACAGATACAAAATCTCGACCATTTATTTATTAACGCACGCACACACGCACACACACGCACGCACACGCAGCCAACACCATCTGCAATGTAGAGAAAGAATAGATGGATTGGTATAAACACGGCCGGTCTGAGCTATTACTTTTCAGTAATAAATTATGTTAATGAGGTGTCAATTACAAAGTCATCAATATTCATTTATTCATATCTTCATTATTTATTACCTTTCGCCTCTATAGTTTTTGGCTAGTTTTGGCGTGCATGCATGTTCTATTTATGCATGGAAAAGCTTATTTTGGTTGTATTTTGCATGCGTGTCATTAGGCAATAAGTGCAATGTTTTTGAGGGTTTTTGGAATCTTATATTAATATAAATGTTTGATGTTATATGTTTTTTATGTGTCCATGCATGTAGTAAAGGTCTGTCTATTAGAAAATTTGTTTATTCATGCATTACATTCATCTAATGTTTATGCAACAATCAATCCTACTTCGAAATTATCAACCAACCAATCGCACAAATCAACCAGCAATCTCGGTCAACCAATCAAAAACTTTCCCCATCCACCTCAACCAACCAGAGCTGAAAATAACGATAGCTTTCAGGCAGCTGTACTCTGCCGAATCAACGTGGAGGACTTTCAACTTTTCAACTTGTTCTTGAAATATTCGAATATTCTCCATGAAGGCCACCACCCGATCTGCCGCCATGGGGCTGGCGTGTAGCCCGGCAGCGGCGAGAAGTGGCGCCACGTGAAGGGGCATGCTGCATTGGGCTGCGTTCAGGACGAAGAGCTCACTCCACCCGAGTCTCAGGAGAGCAACCTGGTGGGAATTTGTGCGTCGTTGGTGAGTTCTGGTTGTGGTGGGAGTTTTTTTTTAATAAATGATGACAGGAAATTGATGTTGTAGTTGTGGTTAAACGACGCTGGTATATTTTATTACAAATTACATACATATACGTTACATACAAATAGTTGTATATGACGCTCAATCCAAAAAAATCATAGTTATAAGTACGAAGTCCTATGTGAAAATTGCATGATAGTTCATGCACTTGCAGAAATAGAAGTTTAAGAAAGAAGAGAACTGAAGAAAGTGCACCGCACAAACATTAGCTAACGTGAGATAAGTAAATGGAGAATAATATATTCATAAAACCAAAAAAATAATTGGTCAAACTGATTTATTGATAATTTTTAAATGAAACAAATTTAACAGAGGCTAAAAGTTAATAATAATCACGTGAAATGATATTGAAAAGAGTTAAATGGACACAACTGAGGCATAATCTCACCTGGTCTGTCACTTGCAAATCAGGGAAGAATGGAATATTTTTCGCCCACTCCACAGCGCTGAACAGCAGTCTAGCCGCCAGTTCGCAAATATTTTCAATCCCCATCATATTCATCTGCGTGCAGTGACTGCCGTACCTACTCGTGCCTGGGTAGGGCTCAGCCCTGAGCAGCATAGAAACAAACCCCGATAAATAACCAGTGTGATGTGGGTGACCATTCATCGGGTGCATGCCACCGCCGTTTGGGGGACCATGTCCAAATGGTACAAGTTGCCCTGAGTAACCGGGGTGCTGGTTTGGAGGGATGCGACCTCTTTGTACGGCTGTTTGTTTTGTGAAGGGTGATATTAATTCGTGATCGTTTTAAAAAGAATAACTAACTTATTAACATTTTCGTTGACGTGTGTCTATTTATTTGTGAATGCATGTATTGTGTGTTTAGATGTTGGAACGCTGAATTCTTGTTATAGTTGTAAGTACGTTGATCATTAAAAAAATCATCATTGGCCATCATTATCATTTTATTTTGTTCCCCATCTCTTTATAACCCTCCCCATCTTTCTACCATCACCCACACACATCTTCCTCATCCTTCCTATCATCACCCACACCCATCTTCCTCACCTTCCCCACCAAAAAACAACAAACCTTCTCGTCTCATGCCGACCTTTAAACACTTCTTGAACCTACAATATTGGCACTGGTTCCTGTGGTGTTGGTCGATGGGGCAGTTCCGACTCCCCCTGCACGTGTACGTAAGGTTTCGTCTGACGGACCTTTTAAAAAAACTTTTGCAACCCTCGCATGTGAACTGACCGTAGTGCTTGCCGCTGCTTTTGTCGCCACAAACGACGCATTCAACGTTTGTTTGTTGTTGTTGCTGTTGCTGCTGCTGCTGCTGTTGTTGTTTTAGGTCGTTTTTGTTAGTGTTTGTGGACGTTGTTGTTGTTGTGGAAGATGTTGTCGAGTTATTTGAAAGGTGCTGAGTGTTGTTGCTGTTTGTGTTTGTTGGAGTATTGCTAGAGGTCAGTGTTGAATGTTGTTGTTGTTGCTGTTGATGATGTTGATGTCGTTGTTGTAGTTGTTGATGTTGCTGCTGAGTGAGTTGTTGTTGCTGTTGTTGAGATGACTGAAGATGAGGATGATGGTGGTGGTGTGTGGGCGTCTGGAGGAGGGGGTTCATGTTTTGGTGATCTTTGAGTTCGATGCCCCCCCAGGCCGAAGTCATGCCAGGAATGTGCCCCATCACTTGCATGGTCATTTCAATGTTTGCCCACTTGCTAGCTGCTGCACTGGCTGGTCGGCAGGCTGGTTGGATCAAAATGTGAATAAATAGCTGGCCGAATATGATGCGGCTCAGTTTATTTGAACTTGTTAAACTGTTGTCGGTTTTATTTCGTTGTTGCTCATTTATCCAAATCTGTCGTTGATTTCTCAGAAAACTTGTGGAAAAATGATGGTTTCACCGTTGAATGTTTTGTTTGCAACTGCTGTCGCTTATTGTTGATGTTGATACTACTACCTTGAGCTCAATGTTGATTTTCAAAAGTTGCTAGTGTTGTCGATTTTGAAAAATGTTTTCTTTATTGTTGTTATTTGTTCTGATGATTTTGTGACTGAAATCAATAATTTTTTTGAGAATGTTGTTTTGTCATTGAAGTCCTTTTTGTCGTTGGTTAGTGTAAATTGTTGTTGTATTGCTATAATCTAGTGGCTTTTTGTTTGCTTCAAATTATTATCGAAGATTCTGCCAGAAAAAAACGTTATTTTAATAATAAATGAACTCTCAAAACACGTTTAAACTTTTAATATAAAAAAAATTGAAAAAAATGACAAATTCAAACAGCAAAAATAAGAAATTACACTTAAAAACAGAATATAAGCAAACAATTAACTCAATAAAAGATTGCTAAATACATATAAAGCAGTGGAAAGAATTGCTTATAAATTGCTTCAGAAGTTTAGTGCAAATATTCACACAAAAACAAAAAAATTTTAACTCACACACAAAATAACAACAAATTCACACTAACATACAATGCACGCTCAAACACACACATACACACGCACGCACATATACAGAACATACACAACTAGTATAAGCCAGCTTTTCAATAGCAATTTGCATAGATAGCACATATATTAGAGCAACATCACCATCACGTTATCATCACATCACAAACATCACTCACTGCTACTATCAACATCATTGTCATCATCTCATCATCATCTTCATCATCATAGCTTTCAGAATCATTACCATCACAACTGTTATCTTATTTATTACGAACACCTTAATTTACTTATAAATCTCGTAATTTTTTCCAATTTATCTATATCACTCCTGACAACTTATTCATTTTTACACAACAGTCATAATCATTCATCATTATCATCAACAGAATCATCATCATCATTCTCGCCGTCATCATCACCATCATTTACACAACTAAGAGAACCGTGCATAAATTATGTTAATGTAGCCGTCTTCCAAACCATTTTCAACTGATGTTGTTCATGTGATGACGATGATGACAACGTCTTTCATCATCATCATCATCACCACTCATCATCATCGTCATCAGTATTATTATTTTGGGGATTACCTGGTGATAATAGTTCTGATAAAAATAATGATGGTGCTGATTATGTTGCTGTTGATGAGTGGAATGCTTTAAATTGATGATGAATTGAGTTGACAAAAAGTAAAATAAAGAAAACGTGTAGCATGAATACAAAAAATACTACCAACACAAAATGATCCACACATACACCCACGCATACACACGCGCACACACACACGCACACACACATACATGCACACACATACACACGCACGCACAGTGTAGCACGCAGAGTGTAGCACGCACATTCGATACCGCAGTAGCGAGCGTGGTGAATCCATAGTCAGACTAGTATTGAATAACCTGCGGGTCAAACGTATGTGTGTACGTGATTGTATGTATGGTTGTCTGTCTGTCTGTATGTATGTTTGTATTTTTGTTTGTTTGCATGTATGTATTTGTATGTATGAATGCGTTTTTTTGAATGTATATGTCAGTATTCATGTGTTTTTATGCACAATAATAGAATGGGCTCGAACTTGGATAAGCATTTGTTTGAATGTTTTCAAGTGTAGTACAATAATTTTTTTTACATACATACAAAAAACATACAAATTAAATATTGTGTGTTTTTTGTCTGTTTGTTTGTATGTTTATTTGTATGTTCATGTTAGATAGTTTTTGGTTTGTGTCTGCCCAATAAATTTATTTTGAAAATGTTTACGCCTCATGTTGTTATGTTTGTATGTTTGTTCATGTTCACAAGTTTTGCATGTCTGTTTGTTTGTTTGTTTGTATGTTCTTCTATCTATTAACGATCTAACATACTAAAAACTCTTTCGTAGATGAAAATTTCTTTTACAAATACTTCTAAATAAATCATAACGTGACGAAACAATCCCACCTATTCATCCCATTTCGGATATCCTGAAATAGCAAAACTGCCTTCAAAATACTCGCATACACACAAACTTAAATGATGCAGACGCAAATACAAACAAATAGATACATGCACACAAGAAATAAATGCAAGCAAAATCATAAAGAAACACACACACAGACACACACACACATAATATATATATATATATATATATATAAATTATGTGTATATCTGATAATATTTAACCGTACTATTGACAAATAAAAAAGAAAATTTATATACATTGCAAATGATTTATTTGTTTAAAAAACAAAAAACAAAACAAACAGTTCTGTTATATTTATCAAACAAGAGTTGTCAAAATAAAACCATGTTTTGTATATGTGTCTGTATGTGTATGTGTGCATGTGTGTGTGTATGTATGTTTGTATGTGTGTGTGTATGTATCTACGTGTGTGTAAATGTTTGTATGTGTTATATCAAAACAAGGCATTGTTTTGTATATTGAAAGATAAAAAAATAATTTATGTCCAATCGGAATCCAAAATAATATTATTGGTAAAAGTAGTAATATTACTAATTAACTATATTTTAATTATATTTTAATTTATTATATTTAATTACTAATTAAATATAATTTATTTGCTAACATCAGTACAACTGAACACTCACAAGTGAATTGAAATGATAATGCTCATCATTCATTAAACAGACGCGCACACACACACACACACACACACACACACACACACACATTTTTCTTCAAGCGTAATAGCCTAGCTTCCTTTATATATCAATGTGTGTTTGTGTGCGTATGTATAAGTGTGTGTTTCTACCTGCTTCTGTATTTGTATGTGTGAATATCCTAATTAGTGTGCGTGTGTGTGTGTGTGTGTGTATGTGTTTGTGTGTATTAAAGTAAATATTGTAAATATCTGAATATCCTGTTTTTTTAATACATTGGCATCATTACAAGACAAGATAGTAGATGGAGGTATCATAATATTAACTAATTGATGGTGTTCGATAGTATCTACAATTGATAAAATTAGATAGTATTAGATACTACTAATGCCAACTAATTTTGTTTTCAGTTGATTTTGGTTTTGCCATCGAAGCCATAACTATCTAGCCGTGGTTCATTAGTCAGCAATCGCCACAACAAAAAATTTCAAAAAAACATCTTGAAGAGAATTTATGAGAAGCAATTATACATAGCAAGAATTTACCATATTCATATTGACGTTATTATCATCAGCATTAAGGATGTCATTGTCGTCGTAATCATCTTCCTCTTCATCATCATCTCTTCATCAACTTCGTCATCATCATCATCGCATCTCACTCATTGCCTTTGCGGAGTTCAAATGATCGTTGCAATTTTTATATATTACGCCGTCAATGTGACCATCATCATCATTACCACTATCATCATCACCATCGTCGAGGTGATCATCATCATCATTATTATCACTATCATCACCCTTATCGTTGTCGTCATCATCATCATTATTATCATCGTCATCGTCATCGTCATCATAATCATCGTCATCATCGTCAAGATACATTTCCTTGCGAGCATTTTGTTGCTATCATTGTAATCTCTTTTGCAAACATCTCCAACGCCATCCATTCAACAACACCAAACAAATAAAATAGGCAACATTAAAATATACATAACGTGCGTATAGAAATTTATGGACACATACACAGACAAACACACGCACACGCATATTACGTTCATATACAATTATAAAAGTACATGGTAGCACGTTGTGCACATACATGCACGCACACTCATATAAATATATACATATATATATATATATATATATATATATGCGTATACAAATATATAGACGTAGAAATACACAATACAATATATATTAGAAAAACTCGTTCGTTAGTCTGACCTATGAACCCGCCTATATTGGTTTCTATGGTAACCAAGCAATTTCGTTGCCTTGTCTTCAATAGAATTGGGTCAAGAAGGGCGTGACCCGGTCACGAGAGATGTGCTGCTATTGGTCGGCTGTCGTGAATAAATTATGCAAATGAGATGAGAACGTCTGCGAGAGGTTAGTAGGTCAGCCAATGAGCGTGCAGTACGGATGTTGATTTTGTTTTTGTTGTGTTTTTGTTGTGTTTGTTGCGGTTTGTGTTTATCCTCGTTGATGTGATGTTGTCTGGTTTAATTGATGTGATGTGCTTGATGTTATCTTGCTGTTGGTGTTTGTTGGCGTTTTATTTGTTTAGTTGTAAGTATTTTGTTAGTCACCGATTTTGGAAGATGTATGCAAGTTGCTTGCACAAAATGATCAATATCTACATATGAAAATGTATACACAGTGATGCTCACACACAGACACACTGACACACACACAAACATACACGTCCACATAAGAGGCACACAAGATGCTTATTGTATGAGATCTGTATGAGTTTTGTGCACGCCTGCCGCATCATCTGCTTCGTTGTTGGTGTACACGTCTCGAAACTGTGCGTGTACGGGTGTGTTTGTGTGTGTAATTGTATGTATGTATGCGTGTGTATGTGACAGTATATGTTTATGTGTTTTTGGGCATTGTGGTACTTTTCTTATGTGGTTTTTTGCAGCATTTGTCGATATTTCATTTTGTCCCGCTATTTCAATGCATGCAGTTGAGTGTTTATCTTAAAAAGTTGAACGTCTATGCATATTGTAATGTTTGTATGTTGAACTGTTTGTATGTTAGG